TGAGCTCGGTTTAACGCGTTCAATCTTCTTTGTCAAATCTTCGCTAACCAATCACAGTTCATGTTTAGGAAGAAAAGATGCGTTACGCCGAGTTCAGCAAGTTGGGCTTCCGTTAATTCGAGTTAACCGTCAATTGTGAAACCGGGCCTAAGAAACTTACAATTTTTTTTTGTCCGTAAAATAACAAAATATGTTTTTTTCCTCCAACAAATGTTCCGTTTTGCGAGCGCGCGGCTCGAACTCACGCAATTATACCAACCCCCCGAAGATTCGCCGTGAAGTTCGCGGCGATTCGCAGGGTTGCGGTGGTTGCGCGCGATTACTCGGGGTGGGGGTGGGGGTGCGCGCACCTAACCTCGCGTGATCCGCGACAACCCGGACGTCCCTGGCCTTGCACGGGTTTATCGCCGGTCCGTGACACGTGCCGCGCGGCGATGACAGTGATAGGTAAGAGTGATATCCTCCTCCGTCGGACTCGACGCGTCACACACCGTTCCGAAGCCGAAAAAACATACGGACGTCTCAGACGGGGTGGGAGAGAGGGAAATAGAGAAAGGAATAATATTGTGGTAAAAAAAAAGCCCCACAACAGAAAGTGGGGCGTCTAAAGGGGATGAAGAGACAAATGCGTTCTCCCTCTCGCTGTCCGCGTCTCCTCGCGGCAACCTTCCCAAAATGTGGATAAGACGAGAAGCCGAAGATCAGGGTAGATACGATCTCAATCATCATCATCATCATCGTCGTCGTAGTCGTCGTCGTCATATTTGCCGTTGTCGTCATATATATTCATAGTTTTTTTAGAAATGCTCTGTCACGTTGTATGCGGAATGTCGCTGTTAACGTTGCATAAGCGACACGTCGTCGCACGACCTTGACGTTCTCCTATCCGTCTCATTAGCGCAAAAGCGTAAGAAAGGAATTTCTCTCGCATAATTTTTCTTTCTATATGTGTTTGCAGAAACCGACGTATCCGCGTTATGCATCGACGTGTCGAAGGTCAAATCGTTGAACGGAGAACCAAGGAAGTCTGTAAGTCTCTCTCTTGTGTCCAAAGTCTCTGTCCTGTTCCTCATATATAGAGCATGCATCTGTATTTGATTTTTGTTCGTGCAGTGGCGTAGCTAATTTTCTGACCACCAAAGTCTATGGATGAATTTTTTTTTTTTTCAGTAAGATTTTAAGAATGAAATATTATTTTAATATTGTGAGTTCTTGTTGTTTATTGCAATATATAATAAAATAAATATATATACGATAGTTACTGAATTTTTTTTTTTTTACAATCTTTGTGTAATGACGTAATGACTAAAAATTATCAAAGATAATTAATATCAATATAGAGCAGTATTATATATCAGGTCGGGAGAAACTGTACCATTGTGCGTATATAGGGTAGAAGACCCAATTACTGTCACCTGAATAATAAACTCTGGCGTTGGTGAATTTGTTTTTACCACTTATTTATCAAAAACATGTGTTTTTCTTCTTATCTGATATTATTCGATGTCTCTGATATAAGAAACAAAATAATACCGCCTCTCGAAATCTCTATTTTTATTTATAAATTTAATAATTAAAAAAGAACGATGCGAGAGCTATTACTGTCACCCCCTAAAATGAAAGAAATGAGACAAGAATGTTGAGTGCTGGATTTTTTGTTATATTAATTGCACTTAAAATTCCATGTTAGATTTTTTTCATGCATAACTTTTTAGGATTTCAATTGTGTTGAGTGATGGGCTTCTGTGAACCAAATGCAGGAACTTAGGTGCAATAATGAAGACTGTATCTGTGTCTCGAAACGTTTCGACTTTTATTTAAGTCATCTTCTGTCGAATGAGCAAAATAACAATTAACACTTCATATTTTTAGGATTTGTTTAATATTTTAAATAAAATAGCTTAGGGTGGACAGTAATTGAACAGGTGACAGTAATTGGGTCTTTTACCCTATTACTGTCACCTGTCATTAAAAATAATCCTAAATTATATATTATATATTCCTAAATTATATTATATATATTATATATATTATATATTATATTATATTATATTATATTATATATTATATTATATTATATAATTATATTATATATTTTTTCATGCATAACTTTTTAGGATTTATTTAATATTTTAAATAAAATAGCTTATTTGGTGACAGTAATTGAACAGGTGACAGCAATTGGGTGTTTTACCCTAAGTAATTTGTTGAATCATATAATTTATATTGACGATCATATCTATATATTTAATTCTGATTTATAGAGCCAATTCGATCAGTGCGTCGCATATCTCAATCACGTCATGTCATTTTCATCTCCTATTTAGATAGTTCATTTGCTTCTTAATCACTCAAATTGCCGTTTTTCAGATGAACGTGAGAGATTTGCTTGAATGTTTTTTTAAGTAAAAATATTCAATTGAGTTAATTTAATATTGTAATCTTGATGACGCTTTTCTTTTCAATTATATATGACCCTTACGAAAAATAATTACTGGCAGTAATATATTGCGGCGGTGCTCGGTAAAAAAATTTTTCATATAGTATACTTATACACAAATTAAAATAATTATATCTAATTATGCAAATTTATATGCCGAAAATGTCCATACAATTTTATAAACACGGAGAATTTCTTTTTTTTAAGAAAATGGCTTCAGAGATATTTCATATCAAATTACAAAATAACTCTGTTAGTATCATGTTAGATAAAAAATTATATAAAACTAATTTTTACTATTATTTTAAACAATTTTTGATATATAATCATATATACTTATACACAAATTAAAATAATTATATCTAATTGTGAAAATTTATATACCAAATATGTCCATACAATTTTATACATGAAAAATTTTTTACCGGGTGGTACGAAAGAATTATTTGGCAATAAGTATAGAAAAAATATTAAATTATATTTATATTTACTTTTGTATACTGAAGAAGGCTCAAGTAAGGGCCGAAACGTTTGTTTTTTGTAATTCTAAATTTTATTTACGTTTTGTTTATAAATAAATCTTTAAGATCCATTAAAGCTCGAAAACAGACCTTGTTATATTATTTTTCTATACTTATTGTTAATATCGCGAGCGAATTGTATAATTAATTATTTGGCATTCTGTGTAATTGCCAGTAATATTCTCAGTGATTCCTGTAATACCTAATAATATTCTTGTGTGTGATTGTCAGTAATATTTATATTACTAACTTTATTTTATATGTAATCGGCAGTAGTTTTTTTTTCATAAGGGTACACGTCGGTTGATTTTTACAAATTACAAAAGTAACAAAATTAATGGATTGACGGATGTTTTTTTATTTTTATAGATAAAAAACTAGTCGACCAAAATATTTGTCGACTGGTTTTATACTTGTTTATTTACTTGATTTTTTTTCTATCGAATCTTATTGTTTTTTATCAAGCGAATCGTAATGATTGAGATATGTTATCCGTATTGTTTGTATCTTTTTGCAACAACAAAAGAATTATCTAATAAAATCAATGTCTACATTGTAATATATGTATAAAAAATTAAAAGTATTTATAACATATGTGTATAAGTGAAGTATATATTTATAAGAAAAGAATGTGTCGAGCAGTTAAAATATTAAAATGTTGCTAACAAAACAAATGATATTATTTTGCCAATATATTTCATATAATTATTTGTATAGCAACGCATGGTTTTTTATAGTGTCTGAATTAAAAGAATATCAGAATATTTTTTATTATAACAAATGTGGATATTGGTAAGTAGTCTACACAATTCTCAAAAAAAAGATAATTTGCAGAATGTGAATAACGTGTGCAATATAATTGTACGTACTTGTGTACGAGAGTGGCGAGTGTTGCGTATGCTCTTGAGACAAAAACGGTCCGAAAGAGTATACCTTTGTTCTGTGTGACACAATTCATAATAATGTATGGTTGGCTATCTGAACAGTTTGCAGGTATGCCCATGGTGTGTGGTTTTGTTGAGTTTTGTTCCATCATTCCCGTCCGTGGCTTTTCCATGTTATCACTGATCGATCTACGAGGGTGCAACACACTTCATATTGCTTACGATGCTTAATTATGTGAGCGGTATGGTCTTCTGATTTTACATATCAATGATTAATGTTTTTTTAAGAGATTGGTGAAACACGTATTACATCAAGATATCAGACAATCCGCTGTGTGGTATTGAAAAATTACATTCAAAATTGTTCCCTCTCTTATATACAATATTTTATTTTGTTTTTTTTTTTTTATTTTTAACATTCTTATTCCGCAAAGGATCAACAAAAAAATTAAATATTTTTGTTACCAATAGAGGTAGTTTACTGATAAAGGTAGTTTATATATTATTATAATCCAAACAAAAAAATTAAATATTTTTGTTACCAGTAGAGGTAGTTTACTGATAAAGGTAGTTTATATATTAATATAATCCAAACAAAAAAATTAAATATTTTTGTTACCACTAGAGGTAGTTTACTGATAAAGGTAGTTTATATATTAATATAATCCAAACAAAAAAATTAAATATTTTTGTTACCA